GAAAGTCCTTCCTGTAACTAAATTTGCGGCTCTGATGTAGAGTATCCTGCTCTTGTTTTCACACATCTACACAGTATCTGCTTCTCTCTAAATGTTGTTAGCAAAGCTTCACTAAAAACACCCAGCTCAGTCCGTATACTTAGCACCCCGCCTGACATTTATGAGAAACATGACTCCCGTCAACCCAGACCAGTTTAAACAGATTACACTCGAAGATGGTGTGAACAAGGAGACAAATTTTCTGGAATTCCTCTAATTAATTTGGATTTCAAGTCGTCTTCTGTCCTTTTTTCCCCCCTTCATAAAAACTCAACAAGCGTTGCTCGAGAAGCAAGTGCGTCAAAATAGCAGCAACAGATTCAACTTTTCTCAAGTTCACATTGGTGGCAGCGGCGGGTGAATTGTAGGAGTTTATTTGGCACGCAGGAGCATCGGGAGAGATCTCGGGTTTCGTTTGGTGGATGCATCAGGTCTCACACACACACACACACACACACCTGCTGCTGTCACACACACGCCGGTTATCTAGCACAAAGACTGAACGGGAAGAACAAACGGGATGAGAAATACTCATGGTTTCTTCTGGAGGGTCAACCCTCCCAAAAGCGCCAAGAGAAACCAAACGGTTGCGAAAGAAAGCAGCATATTTTCCTGTTCTCGCCGTGTTATAACACTGATATTGGTGCAGACATGTTGGAGACGGGAGGGAGAGGCCAGGGTCAAGTTCCCCCCTCTGCACACATCCACCCAGCCCTCACTTACCTCCTCCTACCAGATCCCTATACATAGTAATGAAGCTGCTTCTTATCTGTCTAGCTGTCTAGCAGATGGTCACTGTGCTGTCGCAAAGATCGCTGTGCCTCAGCGTCTACAGATTCTCTGGCTTGGGACCAAGTCAGGAGTGCAGAGGCAGAAACTGTCTCAAAATGTCAGCCACACATGCCCGCTTCATTAGAACCCGAACCTTTTTTTATTGGTGATAAGACCCGTGAAAAATCTGTCAAATATGATTCTATTTATTGGCCACTACGTCGGCCATTTCTGCTCCCTCGTCCTCCTTCGGTCTAGACAGCGTTCGGTCTAAACTCATAAACACAATTTAAAAAGTTTCTAGTTTTTTTTTTTGTCTTGTAGATGTTGCAAGATGCAACTTAGTTGAGTCTGAAGTTAGCATCCAAAGCCGGGAGTTTAAGTTGAAGTAAAGCGTTTGGAGTCAGACTGAACACTTCTGCTTGAAGTTTATATTATAAATGTTCACAAAACTTTGTCGATATTCTGCTGATGTTGTAAAAACATAATTTCACAATTACTGTGTTTCCGTTAAATAAGAAATGCAATTGAAGTCACATGTGAATAAGCTGGTTATCAAGAAATTAGTACTGAGATATGTATAAAAATACTAGCAGTCATGCTAATGCTCATGCTAGCGTAAAATCCTTTGATCAAAAACATGAGTTTTTCAAAATTATCATGTTTTCATTAAGCAAATTTATTTAGTAATTCAAATTTGTGCAATTTTATGGCCAATGGAAACACAGGTAGAGAAAATGAACATTTTAAAGTGTTTTCAGTGTTTCTTTATCCTGTAGATCAGGATGTCAAACTCATTGTCATTTTGGACCAAATCAAGATCATGAATGCTCTTAAAGGGGCGGTTGTGCCAGAATGTACTGATAAAACCTGATCACAAACTGTTAAAATATCAGTGAATCCTTGAAATTAAATATTATTGAACATCTTCTCAGCTCCTCTGTTTGTGGTTCTAATTTGAAAATATTTGCGCTTATTTATGACAGTAAATGTGACTCTTTATTACTTGCTGTATAGATTATGGACTATAATCTGACATCAATTAAAGCTGAGGCAGCTGTTTAGTACAAGTCAGAAAGATTTTGACAATTGAGAAAAATCTGCAATAATCTCCAACTTTTAGCTCAATTTGTTGATTTTGTGTGAATTTCCACAATAATTCCCAAGAAACTGGAGGGACTGATTGATATAATTTGGCAGTAAACAGATAAAAACTGCATTGATTTGATTTAATCACATTTAGTGTTTAGTCTAGAATCTTCAGGGCCACATAAAAAGCTGCAGTGGGCCGGATTTGGCCCACGGGCCTTGAGTTTGACATCTGTGTTTTGGAGTTTATTTCTGATTTTTCTCAAAAATTGTCAAAAACTTTTTTACTTGTACTAAACAGCTGCCTCAGCTTTAATTGATGTCAGATTATAGCCCATGATCTAAACAACAAGGAATAAAAAGTCACATTTACCACCATAAATAAACACAAATATTTCCATATTAGTACCACAAACACTTTGATTTTTAATGACAGAAATCACATAAAGAATCAAAAAATCCTCGAGGGACTAAAAGATGTTCAGCAATAATATTTAATTTTAAGGATTCATTGATATTTTAACAGTTTGTGATCAGGTTTTATCAATACATTTTGGCACAACCGGCCCTTTAAGAGCGTTCATGATCTGGATTTGGCCCAAAACGAAAATGAGTTTGACACCCTGATCTAGAACTTCAAAGTTTTATCACTTCAAGTTTTGCATGTTGCTAAATTTTAAATTTCCTTAATTCTTTGTAAAATAGTTTCAGATTTGATTAAGAGAGTCTGTGAACCTTAATCACTGATCCTCAATTGGTTTTACATCTAGACTTTGATTAGGCCATTATATTGCACAAATATGCTTTGAGCTAAAACTGTTGCGCTGAACTCCAGTGAAAAGGTTTAAATTTTGTAGATACTTTAAAATCATGTTCTTATATCAGGGACTGATTTGTTTTGGGCCCAAACTACAGTTCAGGACTGACACAGATTTGTTTATCAAAGCTTTTTGTTTTTAATCAGGGTAAAACTCACATAATTTCCCTAAGTACAACACAAAGTACTCGTCTATCCAGAGATTTTCTCTAAACGTTGCTGCACCCAAATCAACTTTTATTTTATTTCTTGAACTTGGCTAACCATAGCAGCCATTTTGAGAGAAATCCTGTAATTATAACTGTGTAAAAATTCATCTTTTAACACAGCAAATGTACAAAATTATTTTTACACTTTATAAGTAACATCCCTTTCCTACAAAAACAAACAAAAATAAAATCAGTCTACTTTATTTGCTTCATTTTATTTATTTTTTTTCAGTGTTTTTAACTCAACAGAAAGTTTGTACACCCCTGATCTAAGTCTTACGTCTGATCTGCATAGGATGTTTCAATCGTTATTTATGTTCAAATTTAGTAAATTTGAATTGAAAATTTTGAAAAACAAACAGCGAATATTACAAAACAAGTGAGAAAGAAAACTGCACTAGTTGGAAGGTTTTCAGATGAATTATGTGACATTTTATTCTGAAATCTTGAAACTATTTATAAGCCAAACGGCCCGTCTCATGTCTTTATATGTAAAAACCTGGAGCTGGTTCACATGCAGGCATGAAGACAATTTGTTGAGTAATGGTGCCAGAGCCTGCTGGGTCATAAGGCCTCCAGAATGCCAAACAGCCAAATAGAAAGAGATTTATTTACTCGATTTTAATGAAGTGTGAAGCCTTTGGTCACTCAGCTGACTGGGTTAAGTTTCTGCATCCTGAAACAACAAACCGGTTCTGCACACTTGTTCACTTCCCTCTTGTTTAAATTTTCTAAATCAAACCAAAAATATTTAAATTTTGCATTCACTTCTAATTCAGCCGCTATTTTAAACATTTTCAGGAGCATTTATCGCCGTTTCTGCCATGGCAACCCTTAACTGAGATTAATGTGGGATGTAAGTTGGCTTTAGACACACACACTCACACACACACACACGAACAAAATCAATAAGGATGTGTGCTGGTTGCTTAGTAGAGCCTGACCCGCTGCAGCCGACAGAAACAGATGTTCAATTGTTGGCTGGACTGATTGAGTCGAGGTTTTCTTCTTCCCCTCGGGGTCTTAGAAATAATTTTCTGTTATTGATTAATTTACGTCTTTTCCACTGGTGCATTTGTTGCTATGAATGTAATTACAGATTTGTGGTTGTCATCCCACAAATAATGCAAATTAAAGGAGTTTTCTGTCCAATAATTATCTCTATTTTTCTTCTCACCACAAATAAGTAAATATGACGGAGGAGTAGGGCTGCTGTAGGCAGAAAAAAGGAGAAAATCACTTAAAAGGTCCAAAATTTTTGACTTTTGAAAGTAAAAAAATCCAAGTTTTTTCTAGAAAATGTAAATTTCCAAGTTGTTTCCAGCAAATTTTTGAATTTTGAAGTTTTTTTCTGAAACCATTCCCGCGACTCAGTAAATGTGACGGCATGCCAGGGTCATCGTAGATTGAAAACAGGAGGAGAAAATCACTTAAAAAGTCCAAAATTTTTGACTTTTGAAAGTCAGGAATTTCCAATTTTTTCTGGAAAATTTCCGAGATTAATCTAAAGATTTCCAAGTCTTTTCTAGAAATTTTCTGAGATAAATCTCAAAATTTACAGGATTTCTAGCACATTTTTGACTTTTGAAAGTCAGAAATTTCCAAGTTTTTCTAGAATTTGTTTGAGATTAATATGAAAATTTCCAAGTCGTTTCAAGCAAATTTTCAAGTTTTGAAGGATTTTTTTTTTAAACCTTCACTGCCATTGTAGACAGAAAGAAAGAAGGAAATCGTTTAAAAATTTAAAAATGTTTGACTTTTGAAAGTCAGAAATGTCCAAGTTGTTTCTGGCAAATTTTCAAGTTTTGAAACTCAGAAATGTTTAAATCTAGAAACTTTCTACAAAGTTTCTGAGATTAATCTCAAAATCTTTGAGTGTTTTGCTGGAAACGTACTCCACCTTTTTTTATTTTTTCTACCTACAATGACCCTCAGCTGCCATCGTCGGGCATTAAATGCAAGATGAATTAGTTGTCATACTTTTCTACCTTCTCGGTCAGGGAGGCATGTTGTTTCTCTCCGTTCGGTCGCTACCGGAACATTATTGGCAGTAACACTCCTGTCTCTCCCTGCAGGACGATGAGGTGGTGCTCCAGAGCGTGGCCACCATCCAGAAGGAGCATCGCAAGTTCTGCCTGGCCGCGGAGGGACTCGGGAACCGCCTGTGTTACTTGGAACCCACCTCTGAAGCCAAGGTGGGAACGGCGCACAGCTTTGTGTCAACGTAGATGATTTCATAGAGAAATGTCATCAATAGAAGCAGGAGAAAATGTGTGAGAGTCCTGTTTTATTGCAGCAGTAGAATTTCACTTTGAAAAGTTTAATACAGAATCTGAGAACGTCAGTTTTCTCCTATGCAGTTTCAAAAAAGTTCATATTTAAATGTAGCTCAGGAGACAATATGGAGCTACATTGGGGCCATAAAGTTTGTTCTAAAGCAAGAAAAAAGTAATTATAGATTTCCGGTTATCATGCCATCATGCAAATCAAAGGGGTTTTTTTTTTCCAATAATTGACTCTTTTTTCTTTTGAAACCTTCACCACAACTCAGTAAACATGACTGCATACTGGGGTATCACAGAAAGAGGGAAAAATGAGAAAATCGCTTAAAAAGTTGAAAATTTTTGACTTTTGAAACTCAGAAATTTCCAAATTTTTTCTAGAAAATTCGTGAGATTAATTTGAAAATATCCAAGTTGTTTCTAGCAGATTTTTAAGTTTTGAAAGTCAGAAATTAAGTCAAGTGTCAATCTCAAAATTCAATCTCAAAAGTCAATCTCAAAATTTCTGAATGTTTTGGCAGGAATTTACTCCTACTTTTTATTTTTTCTATCTACAACAATATGTCGTCATATGTTAAATGCAAATGAAGCAGTTATACTTTTCTAAATTCTTGGTTTCTATCTGAACTTTATTAACATTCCTCTCTCCCCAATAATTGCTGCTTTTTTCTCAAATCTTCACCACAACTAAAATAAATATTACAGCAAAGACAACAAAGTACAAAATTAAAAATCACTTTGAAACCCCCAAAAAGGTTAAACATCTTTTCAGTTTCAAACTTTTTTTTTCTTCTTTTAATCAAACTTTATGGCACCAATTTAGCTCCATAACAATCCCTCTCCGGAGACGTTTGTGTTGCATTTCTACGACGGCATGTTTCCTGTCCAGCAGGAATCTGCGCACACCATCTTTACATGTCGGGTGATAATCTCATGATCATAAATCTCTCTGCCGCCAACACGCTCTTTATGAGCTGTGTGCACTCCGACACGTTCGGCAGGATTTAGAGGCGCCACAAAACAAAAGGAGCTCTAAGTGGGTTTTGAATTCATTTTGTAAATTTATTTAGAAGCCTGAAAACATGTTGAGGAAAGCTGAAGCTTCTTTTTTTCTTTTTTTTTGTGATAAATGTGCATGTTTTGGACACAAGAATGCTTAGAAATTGCTAGAGAAATGTTACTAGTATATTTCTTTATGTTATTTTGAAAGACACAAATTCCCAAAATACAAAATCTGGCCAGTTTTAATGCTGTTTGCTGCAACACAAGTAAGCAAAGATAAAATTAATTGAACTAACTATGCTGAAGCTAATGGATTTAAGTTGGATCTAAAGTCTAACTTTTACATCCCAAAAGGTTAAAAATGACTTTCTGCAGAAATTTAGTTTTCTTTTAATTATTGTGTTTTATTTTGAAAGTAAATTGCTATGTGTGTCACTTCCTGGCTGTCCTGCTTGTTCAGTTTAATTGTTTACACTTGTGTTACTTTTTAGCTTCTCTCCTATCAGTTTGTCAGATCTGATCTGTTTTTGCTCCCAGCTTCTAGTGAGTAATTTATGTTTTCTGGATTTTTCTTCATTTATTTTCATATATATATATATATATATATATATAT